ATTGCCCTATACGCCAAGATCAACTGAAAGTCGAAATGGCCTCATCTGAATAGACTCCGGAATAATTTAGCTGAGCATGTAGGTGCAGTACCTGACAGAACACTTCAAGGACAATATAGTGCATGAAGAGGAATTGTACAGCCTTTTGAACAGCCCCTGCTCGTGCACGTCGCATTATTCTGACTATGTCAGTAGCCGTATGAAACTGGCGTGCCGATATTCTCTCTAACATCAGTTCTGCACCTGAAAGAAGATTACTTAACACTCATAATTATGACTATTTTTATCGTTTGCAACTTGATCTACTCACAAAGTTATAAAAGCCTACATCAATTGGGAAAAAAAATTAGTGCAAAATTATGCCCACCGACAATGGTACATGTACGACCAACACCAGCTGAGCAATGGATAATTAATGGATATTGACGTGGATTGTTGAAAATTTCTCGGTGAATTTCAAGAGCACCAGCAGTTTTGAGTGGTGCAGAGTGATCTGGCCATTCTGTATACTGTATATGTCGGACATGAAGTTCCTGGTCCCTGCAATTACTTTTGGATTCGGGAATGTTAGACAGTAGCTCGACGTTTTGCTCAGCACTTAAAGATAGCGTTGAATAAGCCCGCTTCGCAAATGGCCTACAGGGACTAAGCTTTGGCCTAACGAGAGCAGATATCTGACGCCGCGGCGAAAAACGGCATGGAAAGGGAGCACTAATAGTTTGAAATTTGTTTGAAACGTCTTTTGCTCACTGACAAGCGGATTAGACAATTCTGCAAAGGCGACCGACCGGCGGGAACTGTTGTAGACATGAACATACTGTGCCCAATGTGTGGCCACCAACCCCTGTGTTAAGCCTCAGCACGTGAGCCAGAACATGCCACCACTTACGGTGCTCAAGCATAAAAACTCAAGGATCCTGTCACGACTTGACCACGACTAGGCCAACACGAATACGGTGACCTAGTTCTGATGGCATCTGCCGACCCATACACTGTCAAAGCTGGATTTGATGTAAAGAAAAACAGAAAAGAAAAATCGCACTTGGTTTTGACGACGAACATTGACGTCGTTATTAGACCATTATTATTCCTTTCTTTCAATGTGATAGTAACGTCCTCTACCATTATCGAGGTTCCCGCCAAGGTCGGAAAATACGGCACACATTTCTGCTTGTCTTCTAAACACAGTTCCATTTATGTTATTCATTCATTGAAACGTGACAGGATCAAAGCAATTTATGGCAATCTGACATGTGTGGTTCCTAGTGTGGTTCATGGTTTGGGTCCTTTGCTAATCGCAGATTCTACTGCTAGGCACTGTCTGATAGGAAGGCCCGTCGCGTTATTGTTCTATGGGAAACTACTAACTTCCAAGAAGGAGTCCCTAGGAAAACGTAAGAAACTGACTCCGTCCATTACCTCAACACCATTTATAGTCTGTGACCAAGCGAAATCGCAAGTTTCGCTGCCAGGAATTGGATTGCTGACTTCACCCTCCATGAAATGACATATGAAGGTACAGATGACAACGAACCTTCTATAAAGGAGCACAGCATAATTATAAGGTGACAGTTCTCTTGTAATACCATTTGCCAGAAATCACGGACTGAACTTTCCATGGGAGCCTTAAATGGAACACTTTCCGTTGACGTCGCGGTTTATCAGGGGAAACGAAAAATGAAATTCCAAAAGAACGCAGGTGAACTGAAAAAGCGGGTTTCAATTTTTTGGGCAGTATGCTATAGCGCTGAAAAAAAAAANAAAAAAAAACGCAAGGGGGAAATTTGACCCACACCCCTCCCAACCCCCAAGAACACTTCGTTTACAGCTTTGAGCGAGTGTGTAGGGAAAGTGAGCACATATTCTCACGCTAATAGCAAGGGATATTCGCTTTTTCCATCCCAGAAGGCTGTTCAACGCGTCCATCAGTGGGCGTTTTGAACAAACTTTGAGCCCCTTTCACCCATCCTAGGCTGTTTTTCGGCACGACAACGTCACATATCTTCTCTGCTTGAACCAAAGTTACATAGCTAGGGTAATGTGCAGACCTAGCCCCATCCCAGATTTGGTTTCAGAGGAAAACGATCTGAGAAGACTGATCCAGAAGAAAACGGTCAACACTGAGAAGTTCATGAGTGGTTTACCTACTTTCTGGCTTACCTGAGTGCATATGAATTTTTTGCCATCCGCAAATTTTATCCAATTCGCATGAATATAATCACATGGTCGTCCAGTTAGAATCACGCGGGTTGCATCCATGCATCGAACGTCGGGATATCTTAATTTTCGGATACCCATATANTAGGTAACAGCCTTGTCTTTTTTCAAGTCCTAGGTGATCTAAGGTTCCGCCTCACTGACCTATTCTTTTCTGGATTCGCTGAAAAGGCTTGAAATGTAGCTTGCATCAATTTATAACGATGTACGCGTCTATACTTTTTCAAAATGTACAGAGCACCCTGAAATGGCATGTTTGAAGTTTCCCCATTGTAGGTATAACCTCATTTCCCCATTGTAGGTATAACCTCAATAAGTTAATCCCTCCAAAGCCGAACCTGTTCCAACGTCACCGAAGCAAACGTCATTCGAGGGTCCTCCGCCTTCCGTCTATACATCTGCTTATCACCGCCCGTATCCAAATCACCAATCGGCTCACCTAAAACGAATCCTTTTCACTATGCTCACTTCTATCCCGATTTTCAGGCAGTAGTATTTGTATTTATTTTTATTTATTTTTGGTAGTATTCTTAAAAAAACAAATATCAACAAATGTTAACATTACAAGAATAACAAAACATCAGTATTCACAAACCCATCAACTCTTCATCATCAGCATCATCTTTTCCGATTTGAGTCTCGTTGGCAGTTGGTGATTTCCCGGCGGGGGACTAAAACACAAGACACCCGTCTGACTTGTACTATTGTAATTTTAATGTTTGGGTAAAGCTTTGAATGTTGAAAAGAAACCAATGAAGAAATGATTTAGTAGTCTCAAAGAGTCATTAGGCACGAAATTTGATGAAGACCAGTAATGGTCTCACTTTGAAATAGTACAATATAATGGCTCCTTGGGTTCAAAGGTACCTAAATGAACAAAACCCGACGTGAGAAGCTGCTTCCACTTCCACTCCTTCTTCTCCCTCAAAAGGGTCTCCACGGTGAGTTGAAAGGATACCTCGGCTATGTAAGCGGGGGAGGGGCGATGGGTGGGGGGCGTGATGACTTGTAAAGGCTTAACGAACTGCATCTTGGTGCTATTATGTATATTTGCGAAATTTTCGCCACATCAAGGCGACACTCTCTTTTCCCTTCCAAACCACCTTCTCCGCTCATGTTACCGCCCTTCACAACCCTCTTGTCGCACTCAGAACTTTATTTTTCCATCTTTCATCACTAAGGTACATCTTCCCCACGGAAATTTTGTGGTAGTCCAGCATGAAATGAGGCTCAAAGTTTCCTTTTACGAACAAATTCACAACCTTGGGCAATTTCCTTCCGTCCTTTGACGATGGTGAGGTTCTGCACTTGGATCGCGTGTGTCTTACTCTGACCTGCACCTGACCCTGTACAAAATCCATTAATAAATTTGTTCAAATTTTCTGGACTATATTGGCACCCAATAAGAGTACCAGAAGCATATTTCCTTCAGGTAATTCAGGTGATGTACTCAAGCGAAAAAGTACCTTGGATCTATTGGAGGACTTCTTCCTCCTAACTGACTTTCTACGTCGAAACAGTGCCTCAAAATCGGGCGTTACTTTCTCTAAGACATTGCTTTGCTTATTATCTTGTGCCTCTTTCGGTTGTTCATCCTTCGCGTTCCTAAAAAAAAGTATAGTGTTCGAGGAAGAAGATAGTCTGTCGGTGCAATAAAGATGGCTACCTTCTTGCTCATGTCATTTTAAAGGGGTACGTACAGTTTAAAGAATAGGTTTGTTTAAAGAGTCCGTGAAATAGTAGATTTCAGTGAAGGTGCCAGTAACAGCTTACTCTTTCTTCTCTTTCTCAGTTGACTTCACTTCAGCAGACTTCGCTTCAGCAGCCCTCGCTCCAGCCGACTTTACTTCGGCAGCCTTCGGTCCAACCGACTTCGCTTCGGGAGCCTTCACTTCAGCAGCCTTCGATTCAGCTGGCTTCACTTCAGCAGCCTTCGATTCAGCTGGCTTCCCTTCAGCAGCCTTCGGTTCAGCAGTCTTCGGTTCAGCAGCCTTCGGTTCAGCAGCCTTCACTTCAGCAGTCTTCTCTCCAGGAGCCTTCCCTTCAGCAGCCTTCAAATCAACGGACTTCACTTCAGCTGCCTTCACTTCAGTAACCTTCACTTCAGCGGCCTTCACTTCAACAGCTTTTTCTTCAGGAGGCTTCAGTTCAACGGACGTCTCTTCAGGAGGTCTCATTTCGGCCGCCACCATTTTTAGCTTTTCGTCCTGAAAGCAAAGACACGACGCCTCTGAAGGCCTCACTTTTGACGAACTTGTCTGTTGTTGATCACCGACATAATTATATTAAGGAGTATCACTTTTATAAGATCGCCTGAGATCATCTTCCGGGAAGGGATTATGGCTGGAACATGCTCAGTGTCGTAACGTCCCAAACCGACATTGGTTAGTCGAGTCAAAGTTTTTATTCTCAAGGAATAAAAGCCATCAACAAGGCACGCGGAGTGCAGACATGAGCCTACATTACTGACCATTGGACTTTCCCCATTCTTGTGTGGAGAAATAAGCTGGAGGGTTTCAACAACGGTGGGATGAGATGGCTGCTCACAATATGAAGCTGTGTGAGACGGCAGTCGATTCAGGGTTAGGTAGCTTGACTCGAGATCATGGAAAGGGTTAGACTTCATGTCGGAAAAGACTCAAAACGATGCCATCATCATATCCACTCGACTGATGGAGAAGTATCAAAATGGCTTAAACACTTAGCGCTGCTCGATTTGGAGAATGCCTTTGGCTGCCTACCACTGCTCGAAAAGCGCTCCAGAACGGATCTTTCTCGAACACCTAATCTTCCTGACCGAGGATGATCACTGCATGTCATCCCAAAGGACTCATGAATGGACCACTGAAGGTCATCCTCTACGCCGTTGACATTGCTCCCATAGCGCAGAGAAGAAATGTACTCTGAAAGGCAGGAGGTGTTGGCAGAGAATCGAATCTACCTAAGCGTAGAGAGGACCAAGCTCTTCAGCGTCAAAGAGTGTGCAGTGCAGCTCAGAGACCTGGCCTATGCATTGAAGATACAAGACCTCGATATCTGAAAGGTGAACCAGCCGCCGACAATAGCGTTGACCTGGCTTCAGAGGCTCCACTAAACGCGGCATGGATGTGAAGAAGGTAGTCCTGATAGATCTTTTGTGATCAAGTACGCTCTTGAGAGCTCGAAGGAAAACTATATTGAGTGCGGATGGGGCCCGCAACTCATTATTGCAGCGAGCGCTGATACGTAGGCGAGAATCATCAGAAACAACATCGTTCGGCAGAAATGAAGATGGAGAGATGGATACACGGAAAGACGCATTGGATGGGGTCAGAAACGAAGGCGACGGGGTGGTCATGCAGAAGGGCCTTCTAATTGAACATGAGAGAGCAACGTCTGCAGTTTGATGACCGAGTAAGTGGCAACGAGGAACCTCAATGAAGAGGTAGCGGGACCCTGAACAGGATGAACATGCTGCCAGCGTCATTCAAAGCGCGTTGGAAATGGCGATGCTTGGAATCTCCCTCTACAGGACCCAAGAGCAGAAAAAGATACCGAGCTCCGTTAACGAGCGACGATCAGGGATGTCTTTCTTCACGTCGAAGATTCGAAAATCAGGTGGACCAAGGCCTTTCCCCGATATTGAAGTGACCGTTGGACCACAACGGTAACTGACTGTCTCTCGGAACGTCGAACGAACACCCGGACGGTGTCCAAGGCGATGCTCCGTGTTTCTCATGAAAGCTCTGAACGAAAGGAATGCTGTCCGTGGAAGCTCATTCACTGGGCGTTTCTGGCTCTGGAGTTTAAAGACGAATGAAGACGAGAGGCGCTCACTAGAGGAAATCGATGATCGAAGGGATGATAGGAGAGGTGATATCTCTGAGCCTTTGCTTCTGTAAAGGTGCTCCGTAACCCAGCAACATCGGTTGACTGCAACCGAGACATTGCCTCAGTCCCTTCTAGATGAACAATCAAGCTCGACAACAGTCAACAGCCGTTTGGCGAAGAAACAAAACGAACAAGTTACGGTTATTGCCGTGATAACATTAACGCTGGGCCGTGGAAATGAGACTATCCCTTGTAGTCGATCCCTTTTATCTACCTTTTATACCGCCACCAACGTAACGAGTTCACCTTCCATGTGGGAAGACAGACAAACTCACTCACGCTATCACCTACTATCAGCTCTTATCATTCGCTTTCACCTCGTACCGTTCACAACCATACCATCTTGATACAAACCATCCCTGTGGTAACAATCATGACTGGTTCACTCCGTGCAGAAGCGAATGGTTGAAGTAGCTCAACTGTCGAATAGACCACCAGTACCCATTAACAAACCCCGAGTTCACCGCTAATTCGAAAGCACGTCATCACGTACGAACTAGCAATCTACGCGGCATCAGGCCTAGTTACTAGGCGGATCGGAGACAGATCGAGAATTCCAGGTGTTGTAATACCAGGTCCAGAAGCAATCTGACAAATGATGAACAAAGTAGCGACTGGTCGCGACACATCAAGAACTATGTGCTAAAATATCGCAAACATATAAGCTGCCACAGAATGACAGGCATGCTGTGATTGTTGCTGTTTGTTGGCATGTTCCATATAAAAGCAACGTCTGTGGTCTGGGAGGTGGTTGGTAAAAGCGAAAAATTCACGAAGCGAGCTACAAAGAATAGACTTCATCAATTCAGATAGCGTTCGTTTGAACTGAGTCTAACAAATTTGAGTTTCCAACCGCGAAGTTTGTTCCCGAACAGTAACAAGCACTTACATCAACGATAATCCGAGATTTTTGAGTAACAGCGTCCATGGGAACAAGGCACTAGCGCTTGACAGTTGTAAGACGGATGATCTAACAATGACCGTGCCTACCACAGGTATCAGTATTTATGGATGTTTCATAATCATTTCGTTATTGCCTATCACCTGATCTGAATATTCATTTGTGCAAATAAGAGGATGGTTGTGCGAGAGGTCACTACTACAAGTAGTTTGAATGAACCTTGTGGTTTTGTAGTCGTTGGAACAACGTCACACACCTGCCATCCTTTGAGCAACCCGTTTCTTTGAAGAGCTGTCAGCACTGATCCATGTCCTAAGTCAATGTTAAGAGAACACTACCTGCCGAAGGGATAAGGAGAAACCCATACCGTCACAGCTGCGTTCCAGAAATTTTCGAAACACTCCTGTACTTTCCTGTTCATTAATCCATTCGCAGGAGAAAGTTCTTTGGAAGGTAATGAGCAAGTACTCCTGAAAATAACGGGCGGTGCAACCATAGCCTCTGCTGATTCATAACCACCCTAAATGTCGTTTCCTTGGACAGTAGGCTGGTACAATTGCCGTCATGTCTTTCGGAGCAGGGTGCCAAATAGAATAGGATGGTTGCATCCACTGATTCCAGCATCAGAGCTTCGACTCAACCGTTTTCTTTTGAGTTCTGCACGCGTCTCGAGATGTTAGTTCTGCTAATGCATTCGAACTTCAGCAAAGAAACTGGCGATTATCCCTGGTAACGTTGTTTTAGAAGGTGAACCCTACCGATACCAGTCCCTTCAAAATTGCTGCCCCTTCAAACCTCTAAAAACAGCTTTTTCTTATGTTACTATGAAGTGAAGACAGTATTTGCCCAGGTTTCAAAAAGACCGAACGCAGAAGTTTCAAAGGGAACTGTTGTCTCCTGTGTAATTAAACACGTCAATGCTTGCGTTAGTAGTTTTCGATTCACCGTTAATAAAAAGGTGATAAATAAGGTAGCTTACCCGGAGACACCGATTAAATTTGAGCGTTGTCTAAACTGCAGAAGTCGCCGAAGCGTATCCACTCCTTACGGGGCTTACAAATAGGCCGGACGCAGCGCACCATCTACGACTAATTATCTAGAAACAGAGCTTATGACAGAAAGCATGGATGTAGTTCATACCAAAATGTAATAGGGGTTAGGATTGAACTCAACCCTTAACTCCTTCAAACTTCAGCTTGAAAATTTCGTGTATCGTTTCCAAATCAAGAAAAAATCGCATTGAACTACACCAGTATTGTGTTCTAACACTGCCACCAAGCCAGCATATCGAGTATTTGCGCGTAGAATAGATATACTTTCCAGGCCACAACATGAACATCACGATTACACTACTTCAACATAAAAACAATTTATCAGAAAACAACAACAACAACATTTACTCATTATCACTGCCCTCATCCTCATCCTGGTTGATGTGGAAGTATCTCAACTCATAGGTGTTCTTGTTAATGGCAACAATACGGAGCCAGTCACGTAGAGAGTGTTTCTTGAGATACTTCTTTGTGAGGTACTTGAGGTAGCTTAAAAATCACTGTACATGCTAGAAATTCTATCATAAAGCAAAAAGATCTTACCGCTTCGAAAACGGAACATCAGCAATAATTGAGACCTTGGTCTTGTTGAGTTCAACTTTGACTCCGGAATTGGCGAGTTGACCGCATTTTCCTCCAACCTTTATCTTCTCGTTGAGGAAAGTCTCCTAAAGCAGTATACTGGGACTTATTAGGGACCGTTAACACCCTAAGCCCAATAGCGCGATAGAGACGGAAGCTCTATCGACTTCTGAGAACAGAAACTTGTTCACATACGAAGTCTTCAGTCTTGAAAATTCCATCCTCAGCCGGGTTCTTGCATTCAATATTGAATTTGAGATGGACCTTCTTCTTTCGGATGGCTTTTTTCGTAGCCTTCGCGGATTTGGAGTTCTTGGCACTCGGCTTCAGTGCAACCATCCTGTACCCTATTAAGACTAAGAAAAGTGCACAAGCCCAAAGGTTAGTGCCTTTCACAAACATTACAATACGATTCGCACGAGAAAAGCTGTACACATGGGAGAACAGTGCTATAAGGGAGGATCCACCGACATTCACAAAAGAAAAACCATCGAATTCAACCACTTCAATACTTGAGGTAAGACGCAAAACAAAAGTTACGATTCTGTTCAAACGTTACATTCACAAATTCAGTAATAAAAGGATCGATAAAGGGAACAAACAGCCAGTTGCTTATCAACGTGCTTCCAGAATGTATTACCATTCAGACTAATTCAAACAGCACTGTGTTGTGCAGTAGCTGCTAGGAGTTTCTTGAGAGAGTTCAGACCCATAACAACTACTTCTAAACAGTAAAGTGATTTCACGTAGTTTACATAAGTACGTAACACTGGGCACTGTGAGTTCTCGAGGTTGCTGTATTAGTGAAGCCTTGAAAAAAAGGTACTGTGCTGAGTGTTGTACATAAAATGTCTAGAATCCGCTCCATTATTCTAGCCCAAATAACTTGCGCAGAAAACAAAAGGATCTGATCACCTTTAGGTATGTCATAATTGCCGCTAAGATTTGGAAATCCAGCTGAAAGGCTAGTGAATCGCGACGGGACTGTTCTTGGTACCAGAACCAAGTAGAATAGCCCAATTCTGCAAGAAATACCTCACATTTCCCTTGCAAAATTCAAAAAAGCCGAGTAGCTGTTAGCAGCAAGGGAGTTCCTCACTAAACCTACAAGTTCACACTACCGTACAAATCGAATTCACAGCCATAACCAATTTAGGGAAGGGTATGTTGGACGCTCAGCTACAAGGCACAAAATAAACAAACAAAACCAACAAACAATAACAAGGGTCAGGTAGGAAACTCCAGATGAATAGCGAAGAATCTAACGAACTCGAACGAACAGAACAGAACATGTTGGCCCAAAATTTGAACATGCTCAACGGCTAACCTGCGCATCTAACTACTGTACTTTTTAAAAAATTTTCGGATTTGACGGTTATTTTCGCTGTCAATTCATTCCATGGTGTTATACCAATTTCTTTGATTCGAATTGATCGGATTACTCCAGCACCTGTGAACATTTTGGGTTCCATGGGCTCAGTGCTAGATGATGGCCACCGAATCTACAGAAGTCACGGACACGTGAGTTGATTTGTTATTTGTCACAATCAGCTGATTTGTAGATCACAGATTTGATTTTGGGGAAGTCTAATCGGATCAAAATGTGATGAGATGGGAGATCGGGGGTCAAACAACGGGGCCGTTTGCCATTTTTGAACGGTGTAGTAAAGTAACCTAGAGGGAAATTCCATTGAAAGTGAGAGGCTAGAGGACATAGAGGGAATTCTTTCGAATCGGCATGAACGGCATTTGTTAAATATGTCTTTGATAATTCTGCTTTTCTATTAATTGTGGCTTGTTTTGTTCACTGGTTTCTTTTATAGAATTCCGTCTTCAGAAGCGACTGCTCCTCGTCAGCGACCTACTGAAGACGTGGTTCGTACAGTTTTTTTTGCTGTTTGCTACTTTTCAGCATACCTTTATCTTAACAATTATGTGAGCTCTATGTGGACTTGCATGGAGCATAATATCGGTGACATCGGTGTTTTTACTTTTTACGTCAACTGGGTCAAGAATACATTTTGCTGAGGGCACCTTGATGACATCCTAGGGAGGTTAGTCCAGTGGGCCTGAAGGGGAGAGTTTGCTCTTTTGGTATTTGATGGTAAGGTGCGGAGCTTCATCACAAAGTGAAGACTTTTCATATTATGCCTCTTTGGTATCATTTGCTTTTTCAACTTACTTTCTTTCCCAGGGAGTGGTATCCGAAGAATTGTGGGCAGAACTCAACGAATTAGCTTTCACGATGACAGATGATGAAGCAGAACGTATTTATAGGCGACGCGATGTTACCTCCGTTGTGAGTGAGATTACCCAATAGAATTGTACAAGTCAATAATGTATCAAACCGAAGATTTATAAGCAATTTTCACTTTTTCAAGCTGGAGCCAAAATGCGACCGTTGTATGGTTTACCAGGGAATGTGTACCGATGCGCTCAAATCCGTTCATAGGTTGTCTGCTATGGTCACTGAGTTGGAGGAACTAAGGCCGGTATGTCATCAACTTTTACCTTTGGTTTTTTCGGTCGACAAAACAACCAAATGTCAAAGAGTTTCCTCTAAAGTATGGCATTGCCATAAAAAGGAATCGCAAATCGACAATGAGTTTTGTCTTTATTGGAGATCGCGATTACACCCTCCGCTTTGAATTGGACAACATTCATGAATCATGCTTAACCCACCTTTAATCCGACTCCATAGTGTTTTATTCGAACTGCTGTTTGAGTTCCCTGCGGTTTTTTGAATGCGAACAGGTCCCATTCAGGATTGGATATTTTCAGCAATGTGAGGTTCTTAAAAAACAAGTTGCCGAATCGCAAATTCAAATTGAAGAAAGTTTGCAAGCTGAACATGTGTTAAAGACTCGAGCAGAAACCGCAGAAGCAGAAGCTGCGCAGGTCGGAGAGAGTTCTAGTTCATTCATGAAGTTATTTTTGAGTGCTTTATGTGACATGTTGACTCTTTAGGCTAAGGAGAAGTTTGATGCGCTAGAAAAAGATTTTGATGTGATGGCGAAGGCAGCTGAAGAGGGAAAGGTTGGTTTGAGTTTCTGTTTTTCCAACATTAAACTTTTCATGCTTGATAAGCGTCTGAGATAGTGTCATGAAGGTTTATAAGCAGCAGACCGGCCCGATTTTGAGCATTGGAAAATTAAAAAGAATAGAAAATGGTTCTGAGCTTTCTCTCCTTCTTCTCTGAATTTTCCCCTTTGTTATCAGAATTCTTGAATGTTGAAGAAACTGAATTAATTGATGGTTCAAGAAACACGCTCACGAAGCAAACGCTTGGCGAGTGAAGTATGAAAGAACATCGGAGTTGTCCATAAAAATCCAGCAAAAACGTAAAGCTGATATGGAGAACTTCGACAAGGTCTTCAACCTTGCGAGCGGTTACTATAAAGAGTGAGTTTTTGCTTGAGCGTTCTTGTTTTACTCTGGAGTCTGGCTCTGTTTTTGCAGAGTGAAACATCTGACGGCTAGCAGGAGTGCTATTAGGAAGGAGTTCAACAAACTATCGAAACTTGTTAAGACCTATGTACCCGTCATGTTCAGTGTTATCAAAAGTGCAAGTTGGTTTTCTTCTCTTCATAGGTGACCTTTCTATTGCATAGCTTCCTTTGTTTCTTAACAAATATGCGAGAGCATGCTTTCCAACCACACAAACGATATTTTTATACCTATTTTTTACAGTGTCTTTACCGATGTTCAAAACCGAGTTGCCAAATAATATACAGCAGGACGCTGAAAAGTTATGCACCGGTGATGTAGAAAGAGCGTTCGAGCTCGATTATCCAGATCACTGCTCTGACACTGATGAAGATGATGATGATGGTAATTCCTGTCCCATCCTTCTCTCATTCTTTGCTGTTTTAAATTGCCAGTTGATTGATTGATAGAGGTTTTAGGCATGTCCTCGGAGCTGGAGAGATTAGTAGGATGCGTGAAACTTACTAAGAAGCCTGTCGAATCCAAGTTGCCCTGGAAACCGTCACTGACCGTCACAGTGCCCCGCAAGGGAGAAAAAGTGCCAGTGCAACCTGTAGAGGAGCAGTCTTCCAATGTTGCTGACATTCCTGCGATAGCCACTGTACCAGAACCAGAGCCACTCCCTTCAGTGATGGAGCCAGGCCCTTCAGAATTGGTGGAACCGAGCATCGAGCAGTTGGGCGATGAGGAAGCTGACGCGCTTCTTGAAGTTGGAGCAGAAGCTATAACGATGCCTGTACCGGTTAGTTGGACCGTACACTGAACGTTTTGAGCATGTGAAAGCTACTCTCGAGAAAGCTCTTCTCTAGAAAAGCGTTAATGTAATTCGGTTTGTTTTTAAAGTGCGTCGAAGATGTTCTCAATTCCAGCGTTTGTCGACGAGAGGTGGGCCAAGAGGGCGAGGACGACGAGGACGAGGAGCAAGGCAGACACCCGCATCTGCAGCGCAGCCTCAGGCACTCGAAGTTTTCGCTGTAAATAAGAGCTATGGTGGGTGTGTACATACCGCTAGTCAATGGTAAATATAAAAATTTTTATTCTAGAAGAGATTCTGGCGTCCAAGCTCAAAAGAAAAGTTGATGTTCCCGAAACAACGGCTTCAACGTCTACTATGAAGCACATGAGGTCAGTGAAAGTGTAACGTTTCAATGCAACCGAAATAATCTTTGCGATCCAGTATTCATGGAAAGAAGACGATGTCGGTACGTGAACAACAAGAAGCCCAAATGAAGATATCTGTCAAGGAGAAGGTGGCTTTGATGAAGAAAAAGGAAGAGGCAGAGCGTGTCCGCACTCTTGACGATGATATTGGTATCCCCAAATTTAAAGAATACTTCAGATCGACAATTAGTGCTTTTATATTTCTTCAGAAGGCGATGACGCTTGCAGCCCTGCCGCAGAAGAGGCAGCTGACAACGTCGCACCTGCTTCAAAGGCTGTTGAAGTCAGTCCGACCTCTCGATTCATTGCCTAGGTATTGTTGTAATGGTTACCATTGTGATATAATTACAGAGCGAATCTCCTAAAAAGTCAACAGTGGAAGATTTCTCTATAGCAAGAAACGATTTGCTTTTATCCGCCTCTCCGTCACCTGCATCCAGTGTAATTGAAGGTCAGAATAAAGCAGATTCTCTTATACTTTAGCCCACAACATGTATACTTGATTTCTCCTGTTCTTCATCGGGAACATTTCTTTCCTTCCTTCTAAAAAGACAAATTGGCCAGCTGTAAGTGTAAATCAGCTTTGGTGAAGAAAATAATGTAAAATGTAATAATAATATTTACAATGAAAGTTCGAAAGGAACTTTTGAGGTCGAATTTATAGTTCAACTAGGCAGCTTTTCTAGCATACTGAACACATTTCTATCTGATGCCGATAGAGGTCTGAGGTGTTTTCAGGCGAGGAAGGTGCTGCTGAGAGGGAAGAGTTATCAGCGCAAGTTCCTTCTCTCGATGAAGAAAAGTGCGAAGAAACTGTGGTACAGGTATCGTTCTGCGTTTCCAATTTTGTGCCATCTCTCTACTGGTGTTTTAGGCTGGAGATGATGAAATTGGAATGGATACCGTTGGACCAGCAGCTGCCGAAAAAGGAGATTCATTTGATGCAAGAGAGTCTTCAGCAACACAGAAGAGAAAACCCACCCTAGTTGATGTGGCTAAAGACCTGATAATAGATTGTGACATCCCAATCAGTTTCATAGATCAAATACTCGATAGTGAAGGCACTGAAAAGCCTCCGGAAGCCACGTCTTCGCCTTATGAGGAATCGAAGAGTCGCGTAACTACCCAAATTGAAATTGATATGGATCTCGACTTGGCGGAATCAAGTGAAACGGCTCATACAGAGGAATTCTTAGAAGGAGAAGAAAGAGGGCCAGAACTTAATGTTGTTCTGAATTCTGCTGAGAGCTCTGTTCCCATAGTTGCACAACCTCCCACTGAGGGTGGAGATACAGCGAGGAATGAAGAGTTCACCCTCACGGTCCAGGAAAGTGAAGCGGTCACTGTGAAGATGGGCCCCAATGTTATAGGGGAAAAGGTTGTTGAAATATTCAGATAGAATTAGCAAAGTTTCCTTCAGTAATACTATTTGGTTTCTAGGAGGTGGATGGTGCTGCTCAAAAGGATATGGATCGTTCTGAATCTACAGTTGAGCCTGTTGCAAATAAAATGGCGTCTATCTCCAGCGCCGCCGAAACCGAACCAAGAGGTGTTGAATGCGGAAAAGAAGAGTGAGGCTTTTGCAAACTTCATGTTACTTCTCATGGTTCTGAGGCTGCCTTCATTCAGATCGGTTATGTCGAAACCAGCTTTGGCAGGTGATACCAAGCGAGCCATAGGTTTTGCAAGGCGTTTGCTTGTGGATCTGGAAGAGATGCTGACTCCGATTCATGGGGGTGAAGATGGTGAGCAGGTGGGTTCGAACTCGAATTTTTTCAAGCACATGTAGATGTTTCGTCAGTTCCCAAAGGAAGTAAACAGCCTATTTTCTTCACCTGACAGGCAAACCTCGCATAATGCACTTACGTTTAGATGATGTCGATACCCTCTAGTGGAAAGGTGGTTGCGGAGCAATTGGATGAGTCAAAGACAAGGCCTGAAGGAGCATCTTCATCACCAGAAAAGAACAGATCACACGTTGATGAAGAAGCAGATGCTTCAAGCTGTACTGTGGAGAAAGTCATCGATGCGACCCCCGTGACAACTCCTGAAGTCTCTGAGAATCTCTCTAACAAGTCGCCGAGTAAGCGGCAACCCCCAGTACGTCGTTTGTCAGGTAGGTAATTTTTTGCGCAGTACATGTTATGGAAGAAGAAGTACGAACGAGGACAAGAAGTATTCTGAAATTCCGTTCGGCTTTACTTTTTATTGGTTGTTCCCTCGAGTTTATTAGCAATAGAGGTAATGATTGCGAATCAGTCGAAATAGAGCGCGTGGTTTCAGCGAAAGATCGTGATCTAGCAATGCAACTTCACGCCCAATTGAACCCCCGTTCCTTACGCTCTCGAAGGGAATCGGAAAGTGACTCACAGAATCCGCGGGTGAGTGGTTTGAATCTTCCTCTCCTTCCAATATTCGTTTTTGTTTAATTACATATTCCTATTTGTAGAGCGCTTCTGTGGAGCATGATACTACTATGAAGCATGGAAGGAGAAAAATGCGAACTTGTGAGTTTTCTAAGTATTGCTTTGTTTTCTTCGTCTTTTTTTCATGTTTAGTAGTGAAAAGTGTGGATGCTCTTCGAAATTCACTAAATATTGAAACGTTTTTGCCATACGATCAAATCTCATGTGTCGCGGAGATCAAGTTTCTGCGCAAGAGACAGGTCTAGCAGATCACACTAGACTGAGATTATTTGAGAAGTTTCGTCTTGAATAACTGACTCAATGTCCATTCGGACCCTGGACAGTGGAGTTGCTTCTGCTGGAAAGTTACATAGATCGAAAACAGATTGAAAGTTCAATGAAGCAACGCCTTTAATACATGTTATAGTACCTAATGATGAACACTTTTTTAGTGTCCGATTCACAAAAAAATGACGCAGAAATGGCGGGTTCGCTGGAAATGGTTCTAAAGAAGTAATTTTCATTCCTCTTATCCGTGTCTTTATGAAAAATCAATGTTAGTCTTTCAGAAACTTATCGGAGTCGAAGGACATGGGTGGGACCTCTGCTCCACTTGGCTTTGCAATAGTGGCGGAAAGTAAAACGAGTATTGAAAGGGATACTGAAGCCAGGAGCGAACAGACACCGAAGAAAATAAGGGCTGATGACGTTTCTCATGATGTTTTGGCTATTGCGTGTGACAACTCAACACAAGAAGGTGATGTTGTTAAAAAATTGCCGACTCCGGCAAAAGTTTCTGAGACCACTACGGACCTCTTCGATGAGATCCTAGCAGGTGCACGTTCAAATACAACTTCTCAGAGAAAGGTAGCAAAACGTAAAAAGGTGCCGGCACCGAAAAAAGTGCACACTTCTGGCGATCATGCTTCAAAATCGAAACTGGCGGATGGAGAAATAAGCGTCGGACCCTCTGTCTCTCAAGAAAATAAAGCCTCAGCTGATACTTCGTGTGTAGTTGAGCGGGAGTCTACAGAGGAAGCTCCCAGTTGCTCAGAGCCAGCTCCGAATATCGAGGTTCATAGCAGACTGCTGTCACCATCGTCTAGCCGTGAGTCTGTGAAAGATAAGGGGGCCTCCGACTCCATGTCCGTAGCTGGTAGAACCAGGCATGGTTCAACGGGCAAACGTTCAACGACAAATGTTGAGTTTGATAGTAGGCAGCAACCGCAGGTGCAAAAGCAGCAATCAGAGCAAGTTACTCCGTCGAAACAGACTGAAGAGATGGCAGGTACACCAAGAAAGCGTAAGCTTGACCTAAAGAAGTCGACAACGACAGAAGAAGCTCCTACTGAATCTCTTACTGGAGGCCTTGAGTCATTTGAACACATGTCATCACCGCGGCGCACTCGTGCGAGTGGGCTCAGAACAAGCGCTGTGAAGTTTTCACCAGAGCCCACTCCGCCTGCTCGAGTCTCTACAAGAACAGAGCCATTGGCACCGGTAAGGTTTTTACTAGTTTTCTAAGGCAGCGCTACATTTAAAGTTTTGCAGAGAAAACGACGATTGGAGGGCCATCCTTCTGTCGGCAGCTTGTCGGAGTCTCAGAAACCAGAAGAGGTGAGTGTTCTACACTGCTTTGCTTGAGTGTTAGTAGACCATGTGCTCCTTAAAGGCCATCACCTCACCGCGCTTCAAAAATGTCGGCAGTACTGACAATGAGGATGTAACGTTTAGTCCAACAACTAGGAGGGCAGGGACACCAGCAATAGTACTTTAGTTAACGAATTCAAAAAATATTGAGGAAGTGTAATAACTACTTATTCCAGAGGAAACGTCGTTTGGAAGAGGAAAAAGTCTCCAAGACGACTACGAACATTGCACGCAAAGGTCCACAAGACGATGTGTCGTCTCCTAAAGCCACAAAAACAGAATCAATGAAAACGGTAATAGTACTCTTAAGTCAGCACTATGTTATGAATCATTCGGGGGAGGGGGGGGGGGGGTTAGAA